TACAAGTTCAGTTACTTGCCTAAATTTGTGCAACTTGTACATGACAGAGTGAGAATTCGAGTCTAGTTAATACAGTTCCAAGTATCTATACTTTTCACTCCTCTTCCGTTCTTCCTTTTAGTAACACTGTTTGTTCTTTACTGAGGTCAGTGTGTGTGTGTGTGTGTTTTAATATATCTTACTGGGTCTTGCCTTTTGTCTTATTTCTCTCTGACACGAATAGGAGAAATTTCCCCCAACTCTTTCCACTATTCCCCAAATTTCCTCTCTGTTAAAGAATAATTTGAGCTCTATAAAATCTGCCATAGATATTTTAGTCCACAGCATTTTCTCCTCTAAGTTTCTATAAACTATCACAATATTTTAGCATTTTCCTTCTTGGCTTATACTCTGTTTTGTATATATTAGTCCCCTGTTATCTGCAGGGGATATGTTCCAAGACCACCAGTGGATGTCTTAAGCCATAGATAGTACCAAACCCTACACACATACACAGACTTTTTTTCTATACATACATACCTATGATAAAGTTAACTTATAAATTAGGCACAGTAAGAGATTAACAACAATAACTAATAATATAGTAGAATAATTATAACAATATACTATAATAAAAATTATGTGAATGTGGTCTCTTTCTCTCTGTGATAATTGATCTGATAAGCCAAATAGCCACTGAGTAACAGGTGGGTAGTGTATGCAGTGTGGATATACTGGACAAAGGGATGAATCATGTTGCAGGAGGGATGAATCAGGACAGCGAGAGATTTCATTAACACTACTCAGAATGGCACACTATTTAAAACCTATGCATTGTTTATTTCTGGGATTTTCCCTTTACTATCTTTTTTCCTCTCTTAGTTAACCCCTGCCCCCTCTTCCACCCCTGACCTATGGATGTTGCTGTTTCCCCTTAAGAACTGGATCTCTGAAGGCGGGGCATCTCCTAAGCGCTAGGGCGTGCACCCTGGGGGCCTGGCACACCTGGGGTATGGTCAGTGGCTCCATCTGGGGTGTGAACCCAGAAACTTCTGCGTGTAAAGCAGACATGCTAACCACTACACTATGGAGCCACCCTCTCCCTTTACTATTTTTTAACTGCAGTTGACTACAGGTATTTAAAACTGTAGAAAGTGAAACCATGGAAAAGTGGGACTAACTGTGTAGGTTTTATTTTTCCCATAAGATTTTAAGATTAATGTTTTCTGAGTCTTGGTGCTTTCTCATTTCAACTCCTCTTTCCAGACATTTGTAAAATGTTAAATAAGATTAATAATCTTGATTCTCATCCTGATTCATTGGGAAACCCTATGCTTCTCTATCTAATCAAATAAATGTGTTCAAATCTCAGCTCTGACTAAGTGTAAACTTAAGGCAGTTTAATTTACCCGTCTTTCCTCATTTCTAAAACATAGAAAAGAATATCTACATTAAAAGTTGTATTAGTTATTAGAGATAATATATGTAAAGCACTGGTACATAAAGGCTTCCTTTATTCATATAACTTTTGGTCTGGAGCCTTGTTGTGTATATTCTATAAACAGTTTTCCCCCAACCCCTCATGCCTACTTGTCCTTAAAAGTTCTCTACTCAGTGATCATCTTGACAGCATAATCAAGCCTCTTTTATTAGTGTTAGTATTACCAGTTTGTAGAGTCTGCAGATAAGATGAGCTATTGTGTCATTTCCAGGGTTCCTTTTAGTGCCTGTTTTATTGAAGGCTCTTCCATTAGCAGTCTGCTATCTTCTAACAAACGGGCTATTTATAATAATAAACAGTCCCATATTTCTTTAAAACTCTTGATTAGGTGCCACCTGGTCTACATTACTTAGTAGTGGGTTAATTTGTTGATTAGATGTAAAATATGTAGTGTATTTACCACAATTTGAGCTAATAGCTTTGATCGGTTTCCTTAAAAAGGCAGTTTGGCTGTATAATTCAGGTTTTTTCATTTAATTTTAAGTTTGATAGTGGTTTTAGAATTTAGGTTTGTTCACTGTGCTTTTTATTCATGAATCTTTGAGTTCTTTGCCTCCAACTGACACCATGTGTTTGAGGTTGCATTTTATGAATGTGAAACCTTGCACATGGTTACTAAATGATTTAGGTTTTATTTCTGCCTCATGTGTTCTTAAATATACCAGCTGCTGCTTAATTAAAAATGTAATTTAATTTGACTGACACATGAGGTTTATAGTTCATAAACATGATATATTTTCGTTGTTTGTATTCATATGACTGTTGGTCCATATGTTAATGTTTTCTTGATTTAATTTCATTATTTTAGAAATTAAAACAACGAAATCCTCGGGGAAGACTTGTTATATTTTCGAAAGCATGTTTCTATTTTTCTGGAATTCACATTTGTGCTTACAGAATTTCTTTCTATATTAATATTTCTAAGTTTTCTATTTTAGGAATTTTATTTTATTATTTTTTAGCAGAGAACAGCTTTTAATACTGATGTAATTTTATATTGTATTTTTAGAAATAATACCATTTTGAATGTGTGAAAAAAACATTTTTCCTTAGTTGCTTGGTGTAGTTTTAAGAATCTAATGGCTAGATTTAGTTATACACATGGCAGATTATTGTAAATTCATTAATTTATATTGGTGGTTCTTAACAATTTGGGGGTCAGAAAGCCTCTTGTAAAATTGATTACTTTATCTCTTATAAATGATTATGTGCATTAGTTGGCTTTAAAAAGAAGTGTAAAATTATTTTACATTAATGGAGAACAGCTTTTGATATAAATAGTATGTTTCTTAAATTATATCTCTGGGAACAGGTTTTTTTGTTTTGTTTTGTTTTGTTTTTTTGGTGTGAATGAACATTTTTCCTCAACTTTTTGGAAACTGTTAAAATGGTCATTAAAGCATCAGATAAACTAATAGCAACAACCACCAAATATACTTTTGGTTAAATAAAAGCTAAACGAAGTCTGTACTGCTATGTAATAGATTAATATATAAGTAAGAAATAAGGTTTAGAAATTATAATATTCTTTTTAAGAGATTTCCCCTCCCCTCTGTCCCCTTGAAAGGAAGTAATACCTATTGGGAAGAGTCTGTGGGGCTGGCATTTTCTCAATTTTAGTTGGATAACAAAATCCATCTAAAAATAAAATGTATACATTGACAAAAAATAGTAGACTTATTTTCTTTATTATTGACCTTTCCTTGCATGATTGCTAAACATTCATTATAACAATTTTGTTGGCTGGTTTGTTATCTTGCTGTTACTCCTAACATTAGAGCAGGAGATCCTGTCGGTCAACTATTTATGCTATTTTAATTAGTTGTTTTTTTTTTTTTAAATCTCTGCCTTATTTTCTCTCTTGTTTTTGTAATTTTATAGTGTGAGGATATTTAAGCACATACTTTATACATTTACTCATTCAAGTAATATTTAATGAGTGTCTGTATTGTGTCAGGCTATTTCATAGATGCTGTAGAGGCTGTAAAGATGAACAAAATATTAATTTTTGAGATATTCTTATCTCTGACAGCTCAGTTTTTTTCAATGATAAGATAAAAATTTTCTGATTAATTCACATTGTGTTTTTTAGAAATCCAACTTGCATTTGTGGGGTAGTTTTAGAGAAGTCAAGGGTAATATAGAAGAGAATTTTACTCTGTGCAAAGCTAATATGCCTGATTGGAGTTGAACACATAAGCCTCATTCTCTCACCTAGTGTTCAAATCCAGAGTCTGTCTGAATCCTTGGACATTCCTTTTACTCTTGGGAATTCCTGCTCTGGGCTTTCCCTTATTCTTTGGAATTTGTTTCAGTTTTTATTTTTATTAACAGTAGAGTTTTGAATCATTATAATGCTAATAACCAAAACAGAACTAATCATAGGTCTTTGGGGGAATTCTTTTAAAAATTAATTTCCTTGTTTAGAAATATAAATATTATAAACCCTTTGAGAGACATCACCAAATAATGATCGCAAGGTGATGTATTTCAGGTTTCTTACCATCTTAAATATTCAAAACTATATAGTTTTCAAAGTATTCAGAACTATATAATACATATGTATATATAATATGTATGTGTGTGTGTGTACATACATATATATGTATGTACATATACATATATATGTATGTAATTTGCTTTTACCTACCCAGTTTTCATTTTATTTAACCAATATGCAAATAATGATCTGATCCTTCATTTTTACCAGCGGTCTAAAGGTTATATAATAAATAAATAGCCTACGTCTGGGTTTATTTTTATTGAAAACATATTGTTAGTTTGAAAGTGAGGTGTGGATGCTTGTTTGGATGCTTTTTAGATCTTTCATGTAAGGAGATTTTGTCATATATAACTAGCCTTATCCTTATGATGCAAAGGTTACTACTTTGGAGACTAGCTTTAGGAAAGATTAAATAGCTAGACAGAACCAAAGCAAGCAACTTTAGGTTGAAAGTATTGTTAATTCTTTCAGAGCTTTAGAAAGGAATTTAAAAAACATGATAGACGATGAAGCTAATAAAAAATTGCCTTTATTTGACTCATTTGTATGCCTTAGACGTGATATTAGCATTTAAATTTTTTTTTCACATATGGGAAAAATATTGTCATTCTCATTTTAAAATTGGGGAATCAGAAATAATTTGCCCAAGTTTATCTCACTAATAAGTAGTGGAGGTATATTTGAATTTTCAAGAGCTGATGATGAGCTTGATCACAGTAAGTCTCTACCTTTTTAGAGCTAGACAAGTTTATTGTTTTGGATCTTTTTATTATTTTAGCCTGTATTTCTATCTTTTATTATTTGCTTCTCATTTCACTTAATACTATGAATGAAATCAAGAGATAGCAAAGAAATCCTTGATAATCAATTGTAAAATATCGATTTATATTTCAAGAACATACTTATGACATATTTAATCTAGTCCTAGAAATAAGTTATAGACTTGTTGATTTATGTTTGTCGAAGTTGAAGGACTTTTGACAGAGCACTTTCTCATGACTATTTTCTGACTTGTAGGTTTTAAATGCACAGAGAGCAGGATACAAAGCAGCCATAGTTCACAATGTTGATTCTGATGACCTCATTAGCATGGGATCCAACAACAGTAAGTACAGGTATCACTTCTCTCCTGTTTGACAGATCTTTCAGAACTAAAACTTAACAGGATTTTTCTTCTTTCATTTTCTGTTTAAAAAGCAAAATTTCTTCTTTATCAGAAAGAGAATTCTGAATTTTAAACCCCTTGGGACAATTTTATTCACAATAGAAGTAGAATTGACTTTTTTTTTTTCCTGAATGGTTTTTTTGTTTTTTTGTTTTTGTTTTTGTTTTTCTTTAACACATGTGTTTAATTTAGAAGATGTGTTGCTATTTCGGTAAAACTAAAGGAAAACTTTAGTTTTCCTTTAAATAGAGAAATATGTGGAGTTCAAGATGCCATAGAAGAATTTTTTGTGATTTATTTAGAATTTCACAAGATCACATTTTAGGATATGAAGATACACTAAATAGCTATGGTGTTCTTGTGGAATTTCAAAGGCGCATACTTTCGCTTTCTTACACCAGTTGGTTATTAGCTCCTTAACATACCTTGGCATGCCTGTAGCTTTTCATTCAAAATGGTAGTATCTTTCCTTACTCTGTACTAAATATTAGCTTGTAAGGAAAATGAACTAATTTTAATGAAATAACTGGCTTTAATCAGAGTGACTTTTAAGTTGTATGCTTTCACTTAATTTAGTGAGTGGTAAAAGGTGTCTTCTGTTATATTAATGAGTTAAGTTTTAGACTCTGCTTAAGGATGGGGGCTGGTTGCTAGGAGAACCAACTATATGAATAGAGGATTGGAAATTTCTGCCCCACCCCTCCACCTCCAGGGAGTGGTGACGGACTGGAGGTTGAATTGATTACCAATGGCCAGTGGTTTAATCAATCATGCCTAGGTAATTAAGCCTCCATTAAAAAAAAAAGTTCAGTTTGCTTCTGGGTGAAAGTATGGAGATGCTGGGAGAGTTGTGTACTTGGACAAGGCATGGAAGTTTTGTGCCCTTTCCCTCATACCTTGCCCTATATATCTCTTCTATCTGTTCCTAAGTTATGTTGGGAGGAGTGTGGGTGGGGGCTAGTTTTGTGAGACTAAACCTTAACCGGTGAATCTGATACTATCTCTAGCTATATAACTTTAGACTTGAGTTGAATTGAATTGTTTGATGGTGTGAGGGAGATCCCACACACACACATTGGAAATTGAGTTCAGAACCCAAAATACAATGCCAGCGTTCGTGATTAGGTATTTTATTTTTGTTTTTCTTTTAGTATATAACTATACTACTTCTTACTACTAAGGTCCATGGAGTCATGAATGCAATAAAGAGCTTGGAACAAAGAACAGACATAAAGCTATGAACTGATGTACTAAATTGGAATGTATTTAGGACTTTAAATAACTGCATCCTCAATAGGAAATAGTTTGGATTCCTTGATTAAAAAAATCTTTTTATAGCATAAGATACTGTTATTTTGTTTTTTGAGTGGAACTCTTTTCTTTCTTACACAACATACAGAAAACAATTTAGGAATGTTTGTTAGTTAATTTTTTTTTTTGTATTTTAAATCATTATTTTAATCTTCCAGCTGATAAAATCATCCTAATTATAGAATGCATGAATTATCCTTAGCATTTCACAAAAGTTTGACAACCACTGCTTGAGAATTAGAGGAATTGATGAAGGGATTTTACTTACCAAATAAACTAGTTCTGTTGGTACTGCAGATTTGACATATTTTTCTTCTCCTTTAACTATCTCCCTTAAAAAAGTTATTATTCCAGGTGATACATCTCAAGTCAGCACCCTTTGTGACCTGTATACATTACTGGCAAAATGGAAAGTATACACACTCTAGAAATAGGACTGAATTCAAATTTAAGCTCCCATTTGTATTAACTATATAACTTTGAACAAGTTATTTACCCTTTCTGTGTTTTGCTGAAGGCCTGAGCCCATGGTTTAGCCACCCTCCAGACTTCAAGGGTTTTGCGTTAAACAAACTTAGTATCTATTTACTCTGTTGACATTTCCTACAAAAATTCTGCAAGTTGGAGGTATCAGTTCTCTTTAACACCTATTTGTAATACCATAAAACCTTTTTGTGATAATCATGTCAGTTCCTGAGGAGAATGTGCTACATATTAAAAGTAGCATATAACCATATAATAGAAATATTCCAGCTGAGTTATTATATATTAAAGATTGCTCTGAATTTTGGTTCTTGATATTATTGCTTGGATTACTTTGTTACTTTTTGCTTCATTCTTGCATATGTGTGTGTTTCAAAATTTTACATATCCAAAGATAAACGTTATAAAGATCTTTACCAGTTTTCATCTTTGCTGTTACTGTTAGAAGAAAGGAAAACATGGATTGATTATTAAAAGAGAAATGTATCTGTCCCTTTTTTCAAGGTTTGGTTCATAACCACAAGAAATATTGCACATGTTCTACTAACAGCAGAGGTTCTAATATCTGGAAAGGAAAGGAAGATTTTTTTTTTTTTTTAAAGTATAGTTATTTGTGTATTTTTAATAAATTTATTGGGGTGACAGTTAATAAAATATTATGTTTCATGTGTACAGTTCTATAATACATCATCTGTATATTATACTGTATATTCACTACCCAAGTCAAATCTCCTTCCATTACCATATATTTGACCCCCTCTATCCCTATCTAGCTCCCTAATTCCCTCTTCCCTCTGGTAATCAGTAAACTTTTGTCCGTGTCCATGAGTCTCTGCCTGTTTGTAATGTTCTTATGTTGCTTTTGGTTTTATATCCCACATATGAGTGAAATCACATGGTTCTCAACTTTTTCTGTCTGACTTATTTTGCCTACCATGATAATCTCAAGATTCATCCATGTTGTCACAAATTGCAGTATTTCATCTTTTCTTATGGCTAAGTAATATTCCATTGTAGATATGTGCCACATTTTTATCCAGTCATCTATCAAAGGACACTTTAGTTCTCATGTCTTGGCCACCATGAATAATGCTGCTGTGAAGACTGGGGTGCATGTATCTTTACGAATAAATTTTTTTAAATTTGGGGTTAGATACCCAGAAGAGGGATTGCTGGATTGTGTGGTATTCCTATTTTTAATTTTTTAGGAACCTCCATGCTGTTTTCTATAGTGGCTGTACCAACTTGCAGTCGTACCAGCAGTGTATGAAGGTTCCTTTTTGCCCACAACTTCTCCAACACTTGTTATTATTTGTCTTGTCGATGATAGCCATTCTAACAGATGTAAGCCAGTATCTCATTGTGGTTTTGATTTGCATTTCCCTAATGGCTAGTGAGGTTGAGAATCTTTTCATATCTCTGTTGGCTATTTGTATGTCTTCTTGGGAGAAATGTCTGTTCAGGTCCTCTGCTCATTTTTTAATTTGATTTTTTTTTATTGTTGAGTTGTATGAGTTTTTTGTATATTTTGGATATTAGCTGCTTATCAGAGGTATTGTTTGCAAATATCCTCTCCTCTCCCATTCAGGTGGTTACCCCTTTGTTTTGTTGATAGTTCTTTTGCTGTGCAGAAGCTTTTTAGTTTGATATAGTCTGATTCATTTATTTTTGCTTTTAGTTCCCTTGCCTTCGAGGTCAAATTTATAAAATCCTGTCTAAATCCAAGGTCCATGAATTTGGTGCCTATGTTTTCTTCTATGCTATTTATTGTTTCAGGTCTTATATTCAGGTCTTTAATCCATTTTGAGTACATTTTGGTGTGTGATGATAGACAACTATCTAGTTTCATTCTTTTGCAGGTGGCTTTCAAATTTTCCCAGCACCATTTATTGACGAGGCTTTCCTTTCTCCACTGTATGTTTTGGCTCTTTTGTCAAAATTATTTGCTCATATAAATATGAGTTTACTTCTGAACAAGGGAACAGCTTTGTCTTCTTCCTGATCTTAGAGGGAACATTTTTAGTTTTTTACTGTTAAGCATGATGTTAGCTGAGGGTTTGTCATATATGGCCTTTGTTATGTTGAGGTACTTTCCTTCTATACCTATTTTATTAAGTGTTTTAATCATAAATAGATGCTGTGTTGTGTCAAATGCTTTTTCTGCATTATAGATATGATAATATGGTTTTTATCCTTTATTTTGTTTATGTGTTGTATCACATTTATCGATTTGCGTATGCTAAACCATCCATGGACCCCTGGAATAAAGCCCACTTGATCATGATGTGTAATCTTTTTTATGTATCGTTATATTTCATTTGCTAGTATTTTGTATTGCCTCATTTTAAATGTTTTTAGAAAAGTTTGAGAAGAACAGATATTAAGTCATCTTTGAATTTTGGTACTATTCACAGGCAAGGCTATCTGGTCCTGGACTTTTACTTTTAGGGAGGATTTTGATGATCATTTTAATTTCATTACTGTTGATTGGTCTATTAAGATTTTCCAGTTCTTCATGATTCAGTCTAGGAAGGTGTATATTTCTCAGAATTTGTCCATTTCTTCTAGGTTATTGAGTTTGGTGGCATATACTTTTTCATAGTATTCTAGGAAGATGTTTTGTATTTCTGTAGTATCTGTCATATCTTCTCTTTCATATCTGCTTTAATTTAATTGTTTCTTTTCTCTTATTTTCTTAGTAAGTGTAACCAGGGGGGTGTCAAAAAAAAAAGATTTTTTAAATCTTTTTTAAAGAACCGGCTCTTTGTTTTATTAATTTTTTCTATTGTTTTCTTGTTCTCAATTTCATTTAATTCTGCTCTAAATTTTACTATTTCCTTCTGCTGACTTTGGGCTTCATTTGTTCCTCTTTTTTTCTTGAGATGTAATAGTAGGTTGTTAATTTGGGATTTTCCTTTTATCTTGAGATAAACCTGTAATGATATGAACTTTCTTCTTATCACCGCTATTGCTGTTTCCCCAAAATTTTGATATGTTGTATTTTCATTCTTGTTTGTATGTATCTCTTGTTTTCTCCTTTTATTTTTTCTATGGCCCAGTCATTGTTTAGTAGCATGTTGTTTAATCTCCACATATTTGTGTTTTTTCCTGCTTTCTTTTTGCAATTGATATCCAGTTTCAAAGCTTTATGGTCAGAGAATATGCTAGGTATGATTTCAGTCTTTTTAAATTTGTTGAGGCTAGTTTTGTGTCCCAACATGTGATCTGTCCTTGAGAGTGTTCCATGTACTCTAGAGAAGAATGTGTAATCTGGTGTTTTGGGATGAAAGACCCTATAAATATCAATTATGTCTGTTTAGCATAGTGTGTAATTTAAGGTTGATATTTCTTTATTAATTTCCTGTTTGGATGATCTTTCCATTTCTGAAAGTGGGGTATTTAGGTCCCCTACTATAATTGCATTTTTTTCAGTTTCTCCCTTTAGTTCTATTAGTAGTTGCTTTATATATTTTGGTGCTCTCTGATTGGGAGCATAAATATTGATGTTACCGGTCTTCATGATGTATGGTTCCTTTATCATTATGAAGTGTCCATCATTGTCTTGTTACTTTTTTTATTTTTAAGTCTGTTTCATCAGATATAAGTACAGCTCACTTTTCTCTGGATGCCATTTGCTCGGAGTATTGTTTTCCATCCTTTCACTTTGAATCTGTATTAGTCTTTGCAGCTGAGATATGTCTCTTAAAGGCAGCATATAGTTGGGTTTTGTTTTTTGATCCAATATGCTACTCTCTGCCTTTTTATTGTTGAGTGAGTCCATTTACATTTAGAGTGTTATTGAAAGTTTATGAAGTTTTATGAGTCCATTTACATTTAGAGTGTTATTGAAATATGAAGTTTTATGAAATATGAAGAGCCATTTTACCTTTTGTTTTCTGGTAGTTCAATGTCTTCATTGTTTCTTTGTCCTTGTGATTCTGATATTTTAATTTGGTGGTGGTCTATGGTTTTTCCTCCTGTTCCTTCTTGTTTTATGTTATTTGTCTCAGTTCTGGATTTTTTTTGCATGTGTGGTTACCATTAAGTTTGTTTAAAGGAAAGTGTCATATATACAGTAGTTCTTTTCCATCTGCTTTTGTCTTATCTCTATTTCCCTGTGCAGATTCAGATCTTTACTACTTCCCCTTTTCTGTTTTTGTTGTCTCAAATTATCCCTATTTATGCTGTGAGTTCTTTTTAATGTGTTTTTTTAACTTTAACAATCATGTAATATTTAAGTACATAATAATTTGTTCTTAATAAAGGTTGCAGTTTGCTATTTCTGTCTGTTAATCATCCTACTCAGTTTTGTATTTTTTGTCCTTTTGTATTTTGTCCTTTCAGTATTTCCTGTAATGTAGGCTTTGTGGTAGAAAATTCCCTCAGCTTTCGTATGTCTGAAAAGGTCTTTATTTCTCCTTCATATCTAAAGGAGAAATTACCAGCCAATCTGGGCTGGTAATTTTTCTCTTTCAATAGTTTGAATATTTTGTTCCACTCTCTCCTAGCTGATAAAGTCTCTACTGTAAAGTCCAAGGATAATCTAATAGATTTTCCTTTATAGGTTACCATCTTCTTTTCTCTTTTCTCTTTTCTCATTAATTTTTGTCAGTTTTAATATAATGTGTCTTGGAGAAGGGCATTTTGGATTGAGATAATTAGATGTTCTCTTTGCTTCTTGGATTCAAGGATCTAGTTCTTTCCATAAGTCTGGGAAATGCTCATCAACTTTGTTTGAATATGCTCTCTGTTCCCTTCTCCCTCTCTTCTCCTTCTGGTATACCCATTTTTCTTATATTGTTTTTTCTGATGGTGTTAGTTCTTGTAGATTTCTTTCATATTTTTTCACTGTCAAGTCTCTCTTTTCTTTTTTCTGCATCATTTCCAGATTTCTGTCTTCGTTATTACAACAGTATGGAATGCTTCATGAATTTCTGTGTCGTCTTTGTGCAGGTATCATACTAATCTTCTCTGTATCAGTCCAATTTTAGAATATGTGCTGCCAAAGCGAGCACATATAAAGCATTTAGAAGACTGCCTGGTTCTAAGTAGTAATTCAATGGTTATTTAGCCATTGTTATTATTATTGCTGCTGTTACTATTATTACATTCTAGGGTTGGAGAGAAGAAATGAACACATAATCAAAGAGGTTTGCTGTATGTCAAGTAGTGACAAGTGCTATGAAGAAAAACATGTTAGGCTAAAAGGATGTAGAGTGACAGGAATGAGGAAGGGTGGCTATTTTAGATAGGGTGGTCAGAGAAGATTTCTATGTATAAGGCAGTAACATTTAAGCCTGGGTCTAAAGTGAGAGGCTGAGGCATGCAGATTTCTGGTGGAGGAATATTCCAAAAAAAAGGGAACAGTAAACAGATGCAAAGGCTCAAAGATAAAGCATGCTTGGTATTTGTAAGTGTGGCAGTGGCTAGAGTAGAGTGAGCAAAGGACAGAGAGAGTGGCAGGGGATGAGATTAGAGAGGGAGCCAGGGGCCAGATTATGTTGGTTCTGTAGGACTTTGGAATTTGTTCTACATGGATTTTCAACAGAGATGTGAGGTGATCTGACTTATAGTTTAAAAAGATCATTATATTTTAAAAGGATCTATTCTTTGGAGAATAGACTGAAGGTGAAAGATGGGCAAGAGTGCCAACACAGACCTGTTAGAACATTGCTGCAGCATCAGGTAAGAGGTAATGGTGATTTGGAGCATTAGCAGTGACTATGTTGAGAAATGATAGAATTTTGGACCTCTGTTGAAGTTGATAGGATTTGATATAAGGA